CTGGCAGCTCTGGTATAGGGCACAAGATCACCCAGCTCACGTGCTGGTGCGTTCTTCACCGCATTCCACATATAGAATGCCAACACAGCTCTCTGCGCAACTATAATCCTCTCCTCATCCGACTGATCACGAGAGAGAGAGAGAGAGAGAGAGCTAGACGGCAATCAATATGCTGCTCCAGGGGAATGTCTGGGTGCCATATTTTGTGCGCCTCAGCCCAGAGAGCAGGACAGGACAGAATATGCTCCATGGAATCGAGCTGTCCTGGACAAGAGACCTTGCATGGGCACTCTCGCTAACAAACCCTCCGCTCCGTCGTCCACCCACCCACCAGAGATTCAATCATTGAGACCCACCATGCTGGGGGCATCGCTGCAGGCGCAGATCGGGGACTGGGCCAGGAAGTGGCCGCCACTGCACGCGAGGAGGGAGGTCTAATGGCCCACGTGCAGAGTCGCTTAGCGATAGTCGACTGCAGATCACCGACCAGCATTGAGTTCTCCAACGCCCTCGAGATCGTTCGCTGGATGGGAGCACGGGGATCGGACGCGAGCGCCCCACCGAAAACTTTCCCTGGCAGCAACTACACGCGGGTGGAGCCTAGGAGCATTCTGGGACGAGCTGCTGCCCTCAAAAAGTTCTTGCGTAAAGGGGCGGGCGGACCAGCGCGGGGGGGCCACTGATCACCAGTCCAGATGACATCGCAAGATGATTTTTGCAAGCAGCCTGGAGACGTTTCCAGAGAAGGGCTCAATTCGAAATGGTGCAGTGGGAGGCTTTGATCAACGTTGCAATCGTCTGGATGCGTTTCCAGTGCGGGCGGATACCAGACCACGTGCGCAATGCTAAAGACTGAACGACAGGAAAAGAGTGGGGAAGGAGGCAGAGGACACCATGCAACGCCCACGTCTCCCACCGCAGAATGGCAGCAGGGATGGGCGCGAGCTGACAGATGTAGTAAAATTTGGAGACAGCTCTGGAGTTGTACAACGCGATGGCGATAGAGGTGGTGGCCCTGGTAGCAACAATCTCGCCAATGACCCCACGCCGCTCACAGAACGCGCGACTACCCATCTTGGTGCGCGTTGTTGCCGGGCCGATCCGCGCCCCAAGGTGCTCCGCCATCCCCTCGACGGAGATCGACGCCTAGTGCGGCGCGAGAGTCTCAAGGAAGCCTCTAACCATAGTGGTCCAATCCGAGAGTTGTTCTCCAACCGGCGCGAGACGGCAATTGGGTGACTTCAGACAGAGACTTGCAATGATTTCAGCAACACAGAAAAAAACTCCAGACAGGCGTCTGAAAGCGACCAGGGCACGAACGCTGACCCCCGCGTCATCCACGCGCGCCCCCGCCTCCGAACCTGGTTGCTTGGCCAGTCTCTTTCGCATGCCTCAAGAGCGGGCCACCCTGCGTGACCCCTGATGCGATACAACAGAAGCAACATAACACACCTGGGAGTGAGACCGAGGCCATGGGAAGGACATGCGTGCTGATCGTGAAATTGCGAAAGCCCTCTGGAAGACCAACAAACTCAAGAACACACCACATAAACGAATGAATGAGATAGGGGGAGGCGTTGCCGAAACCGAGGAGGAGGAGGGCAGGGGCAGAAGTGTGAGCAGACGGGATCGAACTGGAGATGCGAGCAGAAGTAGAGTGGGGTGATGCTGTCGAGGAAATCCATCCCCACAGAGAAATCCCTCTGGTCCTCGTGGGCGTTCCGACTCAGCGCCGGTTTGATGCGCTGATTGATCGCCGACGCGATCGCCTTCGCATTTGCGTTGTTGGGTGCTAGGGGCCGCGTGGCCGATGGCCCCCGCGCTATGAGCGAGGAATCCTCCGTCCGATGGCCCTTGGGAGCAAATGCGAGAAGGAGGTCGCTGGAGGGCGTGGGCGGAGGGGGGCCGCTGAGAAGGACCTGCGCCAGCTCGAAGAGTGCAGGGGCAGGCGCGAACGTTGCCAGGCCGTGCATGGGAGTCCGCCAGGGCCAGGAGAAGGTGGGGAAGGCGCGAGAGATCGCCTGCTCAATGGTGGCCCGCGTCGGGTGTGAGACGCCTGGCCAGTCGAACGGCTTCGCATTCTGTTTCAAATGCTTCTTGATCTGCCTGAGGGGGGCTGATTTCAGCGCGAAAACAATGGTCCAAGAAGCTCTCGGGGCCTCGGGCATGTCCGAAGGAGCGGCGAGGGCGGTGCCCGGGGGGTCCACGAGGCCCTGGAAGGGAGAGAGACTTGCCCTTGCGGGCCCAGAGCTTACCCCGACGCCTGTCAGCGTTCATATGCGCTCGGAATCGTTTCTTTTCTTCAAAGGGGGTCTTCGCAGCCTGGGCCTCCTGATAGGCTCTAGCTGACCGAATTTCCAACATATCCCGCTGCAGCTGTTCGTATTGCTTGCGGGAGTCCATTGGCCGCCTCAAGCGCGCGACAGGAAACGGCGACTCGACGGCAGTTATGAACTCCTCGGCAACCGACTAGCGAACGTGTAGAAGCTATGCCAGCTTGGCGTCACTAAAACACACAGCTCCCGACGTGGTGCGGGGCAGCAGCAGGCGCGCCGCAGGTCGCGGTTGTTCTCGCGCGCGCCAATCGATTGCGAGCCATTCTCGCAGCCTCTCTCATCAATCGCTTGAGCTCCTTCCAAGTCGATATGGGCGGCAGTGTTGAATTTTTCGATTGAGAAGTGAGCGAATCCAGCGCTTCTGCGCACTTCTGCGATTCACAAATTAAGCGAGGGACAGGCTGACCCTCCCGTTGACGGCGTCTTCCAGAAGCAAACACCACTGACGCTGGAGCATGATCCAACATATCTTCCTCGTACAAGCGTCCGGGCTCAATGAGCACTGTTGCTGGAGTGTTCCATTGAACCAACATTCACTGCGGAGAAGTTGTGGCCATATTGTCAAGAGCCGAAAAGCGTTGGTCGTCCACCATGCAATGTGTCGGTCTTTCAAGATCTAGCTCAATTATCTCCAGCAAAGTGTCCCACCACGTCAATCCATGTTCTCTCTGGGCTCAACAGCCAATCCCCTGTTAATCTCAGGTACGTGAAGATGCATGGGGGCACCCACTGTGAAATTCATGTCGCCCATGGCGATGACTGTGACATTCTCCGGGCACTGGGGCGCTGCCCTCGATTCAGCCCGGATCCGAGCAGCGATGGTGCCGACCTGCGTATGGGTCAAGCCGAACTTGTGGATAGTGTAGATCACTAGCAGTCTCCCCGCGCTCTGATGCAGCCGCAGACTTGATGGCGGGCCTCTGCGCGCGCCCAGGGACCAGCTCCGAGTGCCGAGTTTAGAGCACCCTCTTCTAACCTCGCCTGGGGCACCACTGGCAACAACATCGCATCTCCGCCGGCGTTGTGCTGTGGAATCGAGGCTACCATGGCGAAGTGCATCGTTGGTGTAAGTGCGAGCGGAGCTTCGGGGCAGTGCCATGGACCTCCAGGAGTGCCATCGGAGATTGACCCTTGCAAAACATACTGCGCTTGTTACATTTCTTGAGCTTGGTCTTTGTTTTACGATGGAGCAAGGCCCACATGTTCCACGTGCAACAGAAGGTCTTCTCTGCCAAACCGCGAAGACGATAGTCAACATCCCACGCATGCATAACATGATTACACACGCCAGTGGATATTGTCCTCCACCGAATAAAACACAATCGTTGGATGTCTCCTGCAACGCCTTCTGGTTCAAACCTTTGTTGCGCAGCGCTGCGTAGTTCCTAAAAGGCCTGGGGCGACTTTGTTGGGCTTCGTGAGTCTGGACCGTGATAGACGGGACTCCGTCAACATACACCAATACCTTGAGTCTGTCATGCGTCATACGAAGCTTGGGTACTTATCCTTGACCATGGCTGCGGGCTTCTTTCTCTGGACCCCGCCGCGAATCTGACGAGCTGCTTTGTCCAGTCCCACGAAAATGCGAGCAGTGCCTCCTTCGGATGAGGGAGTCTCGAATTCACGCCAAGCTCCTTGCCAATCTTTGACCGCACGACGGGCAGCGCGAACTTTGCGTTGAGTGGCTCCCTGGTCCCCAGCCATCTGGATAACGTAGCGCTTGCTTGGGCAAGTGCCCGCAAGTTTCCATTGGTTCTCCTGAGTGCCCCCCTGCCCTAAGCCATTCAGACATTGAGACTTACCTTGTGCGGCCGACGCGAGAGAAACCATGTTGGCGACAAGAATCGTTGGGTATGGCTCCCTATTCCGAACCTCCATGTCCGTGTAATCTTTGAAGGGGATGGCCCCCTCCTGCAAGAATGATTCCTTCCGCATGTCCTCCATTTGCTTGCGCATGTCCGCCCGAGAAGACTCCATCGCATTCTGACTCGCCTGGAGTGCCTATCAGAAGCGACCTGCTCATTTATAGTTTCCCGACTTTCTGTCATCTGCTTGACCAAATCACAGACGTGTGTGTGTGTGTGTTGATATCAGAAACGACTATGTTTACATACACCAAGTTTGTTGTCCAGCATTTCTTTCCGAAAACACCCAAGAGGTCCTCGACACGCGAGTTGGATGCTGCAGCCTCACGCCCGTTGGACCTGCCACGTCCAGGCGTTGCCGCGCCGCCGCCTGCCGGAGGGGTAGCTGGCTGCGTTCCACCCCACGGGTCACCTCCCGCATCCGACCAAGGGTCAGCAGCAGGAGGAGCACTGGCAGCAGGCGGCTCATCCGTGGGACTGCGGCTGGGCTCGGCATGCTCTGGCATGGGGCGCGCGCCAGGAGGCGCCCGCGTTTGGAGGGAACTGTGGCCGAAATGGCTGTGGGTCCGAGAAAACGAATTCGCGGGCTGTCGTCGCGAACCGACTCACAGCAGAAGTGTCGCCCCGTCATTGCAGAGAGAGAGAGAGAGAGCAACGGACAGGCCCCAAAGCTAATCGTGATTCGGTATGTTTACTTGACCTTCACACGTTTAGCCTTGAGCCAAAATTGCTACGGACCTCCTCCTCCTCCTCCTCTTCCAACTCCTCCTCCTCCTCCCTGCCCTGACGGGGCGCGCGC